TTAAAATATTTTAATGCTTAGATAAATTTAAATAACCTAAATAACTTTAAAATATAAAATAATAATAATTACAAAAAATTTAAAAGAACATCTATTCCAATTAAAAGAACATCTACATGAGGATTCATGCAGAATTGTGGATAAAAAGCCAATTAAATATTTTTCCAACAGAAATCTTCGATGCTCTTGTTAATGAAACATTTTGATTTCAAAAAATAATGTGGATTAAGCAAAAAAAAAGTTATACCCTTCCAAGACAATATGAAGCTGAATATCTTCCACCATGTCCTACACAGAGCAAGTTAAACTCATGCAAAGCTGCAGCTGCTTGGGAAAACCTAGAGCCCTACAAAATGCCGAACAAAATATCAGATAGAGGGATTATACGATGGTTTTCAAAATTGAAACGAATCATACCTTCCGAAGAGTTGATGCAGATTGCAAAAGATGTTGCATGGTAGACTCTTCACAATTCAAGATTTGGAGTAAGACTCGCCTGAATGCTATAAACGGTTCCAATAAATTCATATGGAGTTGAGTTTGTTTCAAAATGGAGTTCCAATCCATATTCAGCCATGACAGCTGCATTTGACAGTCAGAAAATTAACTCACCCAAAGAAAATGAAACTAATAGTCATGTATTCATTTTTCATGTAACTGCATCATTTACGATGAAATTGTTATTTTGTAACTAAAAAGAAACTCATGAAATTTGATTGATTGACACATGAAATAAGACACTCAGAGCTATTTCCATCAAAAGGATACAATTACTGAGAGACCAAATACCTGATCCATGGAAGGAATTACAGGATCCACGTATAACTTTTGTGAATCTGGACAATATTTTATTCTTTCACATGCCGATCTCATCCATCGTATATTCCAAGCTACTCCGAGATGGTAAAGAATCTGTAAAAGGACTTGATTATTGATGTAGCAGAATATGGAACAAGAATTTGAAGAAAAACTGCTTTTGACGGAGCAATTTTAGTTCTTCTCTTATAGTTCCTTGTTCTTCCAAGAATAATTTTAATTTTTAAGGAGCTTCATCTCAAGCTAGGGAGTGAGAAGCAATGTATGAAAGGTATAGTAGGTACCTGAAGTTTAATGATTGTTGAATAGATAAATTCGGTGCTCTCCTCACTTACATGAGATACAGACCACACAAGCTCCTGAAGAAGAAAATATAATTTTTAGCATTTCCTAAAAAACATCCAATTTTAGCATAATGCAAAACATGCAGCAGCCTATCAATGCAGATTGATTGGAAATATATGTAACCTCCTTTGTACGCTTCAGCTTTGAATGAAATTCGTTGGAGTCTCCCTCTTTCAATGCCCTCAAACAACTAATATTCAACAAGTAAAAACACAAAAGTTGTGTAAGATACAAGTCTAGATAAGGAATTAATTTGTTTTCAGGACAATAAAAGGAAAGAAACTCATTCGATGGCAAGTAGTATACTAAGAAGCTGTTTAGTAAATATGTTCAACATCATCAAAATTATGCCCGTAACTATCTTATCCAAAGTAATCAATAAACAGTGGAACAAATACCTATGAGTTAGGTTCTATTATTAGTTTGAAGTAGGCGACCCTATGCCTCTAAAGACCTCACCAACCAAAGGTATTATGTGATCTGTGAAGAAAGAAAAGTTAACTCCCAAATGCATAGGACCATTTGAGATATTAGGAGTTGAAATCCTTGACAAATATTGGATTGCAAAGAAAAGATATCATGATTGAGGCGATTCTACTGGTAAAGGTATTGTGGCAGCACCATTATGTTGAAGGTCAAGTAATTTGTAACCCTTGGTAAGTTCAATTTGGAGACCCACATTCCTTTTAGGGGTGGGGGGAGGGATGTAATAACCTGGATTTTCCCCAAACAAATTTCTCATGTTTTGTGTAGCTAATTAAGCATGTATCTGTATGCCGAGAGAAAGTAGCAAGTATAAAGACTTAATTTAGAGGCAAATGGAAAGAAAAACGGGCAATCAGTCAATGGAAATCCCTTAGAGTGAAAATTTCCCTCAAAGGAGAAAATCGATTTTCCTCGGCTGAGGAGCACTTTTTGAGACAGAAATGACATCCTAAGAAGTTGAAAAATACTCTGGGAATATGAGAAGGTCAAAAGTGAAATTTGGAAGAGAAATGGAGAATTAGGTTAAGTATGAAAACCCTAATTCTCGGTTAATGAAAGAAAATGACCTTTTGTGATTGAGACGCTTTTCGAGCCTCCAATCGATGGAATTTTGAACTGAAATTTTGGGGAGTGATAGTTAACATGGGAAATAAAGATTGTTAAATGAGAAAAATTTTTGGAACAAGAAAACTGGAAGGGAAATGAAATTCAAGTTTTTTCTCAGGAAACCCTAAAATGACTTATTTGGATGAATTTCCTTTCTAAGACCAAAACACATGGAATTTGAAGCCCAAAATTGGGGGAGAGCAAGTCAAGATATAAAGGAAAAAGTGTGTCAAAAGAGAAAAATTTTCTTAGAAGAAATTTTGGGAGAAAACAAGAAAACCCCGAAGAGATTTTGGATAAGCTTGCAGTTGCTTTCAATTTTGATCTTAAGGCCTTTTGACTGGGCCTTAAATAAGCCTAATGAGGTCCAATTGATCCCAAATTTGGATGATTGGCAGCTGAAAGGAGGTGGAGCATGTGAACTAAAGGTTGGTCAAAGATTCTCTAGAAATCAAGCATGAAGAGGCGGCTTGAAGTGAAGATATGTGAAGGAGCTTGCGATTTGAATCTTTTGGGCTTTGAGTGGGCCTTAGATGGGCTTAAAGATATCCAATTGAGCACAATTTCGATGATAAGTAGCTAAAAGCACGAGAAACATGTGAACAAAAAATGGGCCAAGAACTCTTTAGAATTGGGCCTGAAGTGGTGGCTTGAAGTGAAGACATGGCAAAAGCTTGTGGTTTTGGGCCTTATGGACTTATGTGGGTCGAAGGTGAATCTAATTAGAGCCAAAAATTAGTGGGTAAGCCGCTGGAAGCTGGATGAGCTGGTCAAGCAAAGAGGAGGTGGAAGAAAAATCTAGAAACAAGCATGAGGTGCGTGATAAGAGGAAGAGGTGGAAAGAAAAGCATGAGGTGGCAACATGGTCATTTAAGGCAAGCTTTTGGCTTGCCATGTGTTCCATTTCTTTCCAACTTATCTTGGCTTCATTTTTCTCTAAATAGGGGGCTGGAGGAAGGGGAGAAAGCATCCCAACCCGTATGGAGAAGAGAGAATGAGAGAAGACAAAGAAGAGAACCTGAAAGGGTGAGGAAAGAGAAGAAAGCGTGTGACCAACGAATTATGTGTGAGTTTTGTGAGAAATTGAGGGAATACTCTTGTGGGATTGTGAGGGAAAGTTAGAAGGAAAAAGAAGGAAGAAAGAACAAGAGAAAAAGGAAGGAAAGAGGAGGCAAGTTACGGCAAAGAAGAAGGCCACACCCGAGGAGCTTAGATAAGCTTTTCTTTGGTTTTTGAATTCGGTTTTAGTTCAAATTCTGGGATGATTTTTAGAGTAATGTTATGTTGATTTTTAGGTCAAGAAAGAAGCCAAAATCATGCCAGTCCTCTGTCAGAATTTTGAGAGAAAAAGCTTAAAAATTAAGCCGAGATTTGGCCGGAATTAAGACTACATGTTCTGCAAAGTATGTAGTTTCGGATTTCTTTCCAAGTGAATTATTTTATCTATAATGAGGATATTTTTGAGTGCAAAATAATGATAATTCTAAAGGAAAATGCTGTTGAAATGATAGGAAATTGAAGTATTCATAAGAGAAAACTCGGCCCAAGTGACTAAAAGAATTGAGAAAAATATAAGGGGAGACTTTGCCGGAGTTAAGAATTGAGGTTGAAAAGTGAGCGGAGGGGTTTGAATTGATCGCATAAGACCTTATGTAAGTGGATCTTATGGCTTCATTAGCGCTATGTAGTTTTGACGCATTTTCCATGTATGTATATACATATATATATATGAGTGGTTTTTTGTGGTATTATTTACATATGTATATTTTTATGTGGTTTGAGTATATTGTTGATGTTGATTTTTGATAAAGCGTGTAATGATTTTAATGAGGTCATGGTAATGAGATTTTAAAATGTAGCTTTGTTTTGTGTGCATTATCTACCGTGAGAAGGTGTTCGGCTCCTACCTACATTATGGGTAATGTGTTGAGTGGTTGTGCTTATGCATAATATAGTGAATAGTTGTTGGTGACCAAACCTGCATAATAGCAATGACATTTATGTACATTGTTGTGGGTGCATCATTTATTGTGTAGAAGGAGTATTCGGCTCCCACCTACATTATGTGGGTATATGGGTGATGTGTTGAGTGGTTATCTATGCGTAGTGTAGTGAGTAGCTGTGGGTGACCGAACCTCCATGATAGTGATCACACGTATGTATACTATTGTTTGTGCATGATCTACTACAGAGGGATGTTAAGCTCCCACCTACATTATGCAAGTGTGTGGGTGATATGATGAGTGGTTGTGCTTATGCATAATGTAGTGAGGGGGATGTAGGTGAA